TTTGATATCGATATTTTCTAAGCATGAATGATGTTATTGTGCTACGTTCCTTGATAATTTATAGGAATTTATTTCTGTTCATTTATTCTTCTTCTACATTTGTTCACGAGACGGTCGCTTCATCATTGCGAACATAAAGCAACGATGGGTGCAGCGAACGCTGCAACGGTAATCAAGGAACGTAGCCCTCGTGGTATCGATGTTTTGTGCAGTCTTAGTGCAAGGCCTGGTTTAAGCTATCACATATTGAGTTCGAGCAATTTTTTAGTATTTATGCCAATTGATATTTGGCAGCCATGAACGGCACGTGCTCCTAGTTTCTTATATATCTGTTCATTGAAAATTCGTTGTTTATTCATAAAATTGTTGACTCGTGAAAATGTGAGCAATTGGTTCGATGGAAAAGCAATTCTTTGGTAGGTCATGCTGCACATTTTATGCATTATTTCGAAATTTTCGTATTTTTAAAAGTCCCCAACTTCTCATAAAAGTCACTAGGTGTCTCAAAAAGTTTGTTGGATATTTCTCTAAAAGGATAAGTGAGCAATTAGTAACTGCTGGACAATTATGGGCAATTAAAGAGCTATGTTTCATAAGTATTGGTTAATACGGTGTGCCAGCTTGTACATCACAATTTCCTGATTAGGATTTTTTGGTGCACTTCCGAGAATCAGTTTCTACTCGAAGCCCTCTGGCGGCGTTTCGTCGATGTCGCTACTATCAGTATAATTACAATCAACTACAATAAAAGCGTTCAATTCCTTTCTGATTCACGCTATGTACTTGTGTCATCGTGTCTAACCTTCGCAAAGACCATCCACAGTGGTGGTCATAGAAAATAAACCTTTTGACAGATCAAACGTTTGACAGGTGCCATCGCAAAGCAAAAATGGCAAGATGTTTTTGCCTCGGATATCTTTTCATATTTGTTATTATAAATCTAGGTAAGTTATAGAATCTACGAAATCTGATAGATCTTCGTTATTCATAAAAATGCCTGTTAAATTTCTGTACGCAGCTTGTCCCTTTTCATTTTCATCATCTTCTTTATTACGAAACTAGTAATTCTTATTTATAATTATAAAACTAGTTTTCATATTGGAGTTTACTTATCATTCATCGAGTTCCTCTTTTGTTGATCCATGTATTTATCGATTAGAAGACTATGTAATTAAATTTATTTTCAGCGGCTGCAATCAGAGTAAAAGATATGATCTATACATCTTTTGAAGGAGTTTCTGCGTGTTTCCGTAGACATAATGGGACACATCAATTTGGATGTTCTTGTAAGATGTTAGAAACTTTAATGCTAATCAAACTACCTACAGGATTTTAGAATAATAGAAAATCCTTTCTGTGTGCATCAGAAAATCATTTTAAAAAATGTATCATTTTATTGCGCTACTATAATTTTTCTTCGTTATAGCAAGCAGATCGGGAAGTATTGGAGTTGTTCATTTAGTTGAAAGAGAAGAGGATGTCAGATGGCTCGAGCATAATTCCACTGCTGGACCTTATACAGTAGTCCTTCCATTTTCTATGTTCACTAAAAATGTATTATTTCGATTACGGGATACCAAAAACATCAATGGAGTCTTACTAGCAAAAAATGTTAGCCAGCCGTATCCAGATTCATATTCTCCTGAAGACACTTGTCCAAATAGGTACTCAGGATTTAAAAACTGTACCGATTCTTCTCCCTGGAATCCATATGGTTCCTCGTTGCTTTTGGAAGATTGGCCCTTTCCAATGTTTTATATAGAGGTGAGAAATAACTTTCTATTTCACCTGTATCGATTATAACATTTGTATCCATACATATTATACACGCTACGATTTTTTAATTTTTATTTTCAGAATGAAACAAGAATCGAAGAAGTAAAATCTTGTTTCTTCAAATATAACAAACATGATTTAGAATCCCAGCGACAAAGACCGCTGTGTGCACTAGAAATGAAATCATTCATGTTTGCTGCTGTCGATTCAGGAACATGCATTAGACGCAATGACTTCAATTTACATATTGATCCAATATTGTATTGTGATCCGTTGGGGGATAGAAATATACATTGGCCTCTAACTCCGCTAAATAAAGACGATAAAAATTCGATTATATTAGTAACAGCCAGACTGGACGCATCTTCTTTATTTGATAGAATATCACCTGGAGCAGAAAATGTAGTAACCGGATTAGTAACACTACTTGCCACTGCCTATCATTTGAACAACTTATTTAAAAATGCTACATTAGCAAGTAGTAAGTATGATCGTGTATAAACTATAACGTTATTTTATATATATAAATATGTTTTGATCTCTTTTTCAGACAGAAATATTGTTTTCTCTTTATTCAATGGTGAAGCATTCGATTACATAGGTTCCAGTAGATTGATTTATGATCTAAAGGAAGGTCATTTCCATGCCTTGGGTGGTGTAAAGTTGAAGTTCGATGACATCGAGTCTGTCATTGAATTCGGTCAATTAAGTAAAGAGAATGTATATCTTCATTCTAATAATGGAAGAAACAATACACTAATAGAAAGCCTCCAGAAAGAGTTACATGCAGATGTTTTGGAAGATAGTATCCCACCTACGTCAATACAAAGCTTTTTAAAAGAAAAGCCAGATTTACCAGCAGTTGTTATAAGCAACCATAGAGCACAATTTAGAAATAAATATTATAATGGAATTTTAGATGATGCTCAAAATCTATATTTTAACAAGTATGTCTACTTCGTTTTTCAATGTATAACAAGTTAGTCTGTAATAACATTACATTATGTATTTCTTCCAGAACCGACTCAGATGCCCTTACAGCTGCTTTAGCAAAGATAGCAATTAGTGTGGCCGAGGTCCTTTACAAAAACGTTACTGAGAAATCAACTCCTCCTATAAATGAAACTACTCGAACAGATATTGAATATCATATTTCTGAAATGTTGTCTTGCTATCTAAAAAGTGCCAAGTGTAAATTATTCTTGGCTGCATCGCCTCCAGGCGCTAAACTAATCAATCAAGTTCTGCCCCTATATGTGGGTGTACACAAAGTACTAAATACTGCCACAACCCTAACCGGTCTGCTGCTTGCTTTCTTAACTAGACAGGAATTAAACATGAACGAAACTACATGTTACGAAAAGCATCTTATTTGGATGGCTGGCTACAACTGCTCAGGCATATGCATTAATTCTACTGTAAATTATAGCGCAGCTATGAGTCCTGCATTTATTATTGACGGTATATTTCTTATAAAATATTAACGCAGTATTCGAGAATATTGGTCGTTTAAAATAAATAACGTTACTATTTTGATATGTTTAATTAGGATACAACATGAAATTAAAAACTTATTCGACGTGGACAGAATCCATATGGGAAACCTTAAGTGTAAGAATGTTTTTGAAACCTCCAGAGTCTACACAGCGACTTAGTATGATTCTTGGTAGTGTAGTAGCTGTCATGTCATTCATTCTTGTATGGTTCATCGAGTCTCGATCCGACATACTATTTAACACAAGGTATGGTAGTAATATAACAGTAAATAAACTGTATGGTATTCTATAATTGTAACAAATTTTGTTATTGATAAACACAAAACTAATTGTTTCAGAAGAGCAACGGATGGCTAGGAACGAGCTGCGGACCACATATCAATGACCAGATTGGATCATCTCAAGGATAAAGATGTTCCAGTAACGAGTCTTTAAATGTATGTGTGGTACGCCCTCGGACAATTTTTATACCTCAAAATACTGACACATATTCAAATACCACCGTCGTTTTATTTCATTAATGTCGTGAAATTTTTGCTTATCCTTCGATCAAACTTTTGCACTTTGCTGTTATTATGTTAAGAACGATCTCATCGGTTCGCTTTCTCTTCGACGGTCTTCTTTTTATTTCACTGTAAATGATAATATATCTAAGTACATTTTCACGTAAATTCAATGGACGATAATAGATGGAAACTTTTTATATTCCAACCAATATTTAGAGCATTACATCAGTATCGCAGAGTGATAAGCAGGGTATATTAATATAGAAAAAATATCTGCTAACCATTCGAATACTATGGAATAATTTTGTACATAGTAACAAACGTACATATTTTACATATATGACTAATGTAAATTAATACGTTCAATGCTCGTAGTCTGAATAGTTAACGAAGTACTTTGAACAACTATTTAATTTCATATCATTCACGTATTCATAAATATTAGTATTATAAATGTCATGTCATCACATTATATTTGGTAATGTATTTAAGTAAAACTTCAACAAATCTGGAGTTTACCAATGAATTACTTTAGCCATCATTTTTGTACTACTGTATTTCTTGCAATTTATATTTGTATCATATACTAATTAATTGATGTAGCAGCAGGATATTTCATTTGTTTGGAAGATTCTTGCTCGTGGATTTTCTCAAAACTAGGTAGCTAATTGTACGAAGCGGTTAAGTGAAGTTGACAATGTTGTAATACACGTAATCTAAGAAAACATTTTGTCACTTGTAGTAAGAAGTTTAGCAATTCATTTCATGAACACCATTTCAATTATTATAAAATGTTGTTGAAAACAAAGTATGGATAGGTTCGTTACTAGAAATCCTTTGAATCTGTGTA